CGGCACCCAGGGACTGTGAGACAGACTAGGGTGGGGCTGTACGGCACCCAGGGACTGTGAGAAAGACTAGGGTTGGGCTGTATGCTGGTCCAAGGAATGGGGCATACAATTAATAAAACGCCGATGGTAAATGGTATCGATGGTAAAATAAATATAGTGCCCACCCCCTCCCCCATTAAAAGCATCCTGTATGCACTTCTTCCAGTTTATCGTGTCATCAATATCCCTTGTCAGAACGATAACGTGTTTTCAAACTGTTACCCAAATTCTGAAACACTTGCTGGAATATTCAAGAACCTATGTTGACTATTTACAAAAGCAATCTGAATTATTCATGACAACATTTTGAAATTCTACTGGGTTCCCAAAGTATTTATAATACCACTGATACCTAGCTACCCATTGCTTTGAGGCCACATGGCACAGGTTACGTTATATAACATGTAAACATATGTTAGGTGGATCCACGAGCCCCAACGCCACAGAAATAGGCAATTTGTGTGTTCGTCTTTAGCATATTTGCCAATAAATCTTGGAGCAAGTGAGATATTTCAGCCATTTGTGCTCATTTCTCATGATTCCTGGTCTCCGTCGCGCTGTTTTATCAACTCCGTGTTCCTGCAATACTTTTCCTCATTGCGTCTGTCTGCCAGCGAGGAAGTATCGCCATTAGGAAACAGAGGCCCAAAGCAACGCGTGTGTGTCTGTGTTTATGCGTGTTTGATGTGTATGTGAGTGTGTGTGGTGTATAAATTTGAATTCGTGTGTCCTTGATTCCACAGCAGAAGAGGAAAGGGTCTTTTGCAAAAAACCTTCAATTGTTATAAAGAAATGTTTCAAAGACTAAGTGTTAATCTGGACTATACATTTCGATGTACACAAAAAGAGAAGAAACCCCTATGATGGTTTGCGACAGATGATATAAGAGCTCATGGTTTCATCCCTTCCACCATCACTACATATTCCTTCACACCTGAAACTAACATAAAATCATCCGATCGCTCATTATCCCTAGATTGGACCGTAAATCGTTTATAATGACAGATTCGAGCACACAATTACGTGTATATATAACGGACGCCCCTCAAACCCGTTATAATGACTCCTCGTGATGTAAGATGGAACGCCCCCTAGCGGCACACAGCAGATGTGGTACCGGAAGTCGCTGTATAGATATCTCGCGAGATCTGGCAGATAAGAAACCAACTCCGAATTATGTTTCCCGAATCCCTGCCACAAACCGGTTTTATATTTTTTGTTAAATGTTAAATGTCTGACTCCTCTCTACATATTTAGTCGGTAGCTTCTATCACGGGAATTACCCTGAAAACAGAGGAGGTTCCTAGCTGTAAAAACAACCCAAGGCCAAACAACACGTGGGGCATGGTTTGGATGTCGTGATAGGTCCCACATGCATACCGTTATCCATAGACTAAGGTCTCCGCATTACCTTCACATTAACACAAGCAACAGGTGGGTTGGAAGCATGAAAAACAATAACAGTCATTAAACACTTGTCATTTATCGGTTTGTTCAAGTATCATATTTCTCGTAATTATTCCAAACTCATGATCTAAAAACGAACTTATAAACAACAGCGGTGGTGTTCCACAAATCAAAGTCTGCCAATAACAGGTTTAGGACGAGGGGCCAGGTGCTGCTCAAAAGACTAATGGTCTTCATTATTGTGTCTTCATTGATTTCGCTGGCATTAAGTCGTAACTACCTTCTGTCGAGGGGCGTGTTTCGACCCAAATGACTTCGTCAATCGAAAACCAACTGTCGTCAAGATACCCCCCACCTCCGGCACTGCTCCCGATGTAAATAGACCACTATATTTAGTTCTAATTGAGGCCAAAGTTCAAATTTCTATTGTAGTGATTCCTTTTATGGAGGAAACCCATTTGTCCATAACTCTTTGAAACCTAGCATCTTGTAGCCAAGTCTTTTACAGTTCAATACCAGAGAAAGCGGCTGGCGTACCAGCAACACACACATTCAATAGGATGCTCCTATTCCGTAACGTCACCAGACAAGCCTTGCATGATATGAGCGTAAAGACCGCGACACGACTTCTCTCCTGTATTGTGCTGGCCTAACCAAGCTCAGCCACAGCCAGTCAATGCAGCGACTTTCTAAGACTCTCTTCCAAAATCGAATCAAATTTACTCCGTCTGTAGAAAAACGACCTGTCCAAAAAAGCTTAATTCGATCGATTTTGCCGATGAGCGTTGAAGATATAATTTCAAGATGTTACCCCGTTGCCGGTGGCATGTTGTATACCAAGGCCCGCGTGTAGATTTTCCCCCTTTAATGCACATAGCTACCATGAACCTCAAGGCGATAAAAGTCGCCATATTTCCAAGACCACTACCATTAGGGTTAAAACGGGGGGCGCTAACTTTCATTCGTCTCAGATGGTACCACAGTGGCTCACAACTAGCCTGTGTCAAGCAACAGGATTCACTAAACGACATGGCGACCTTGTATACAGTGTCTTGCTTTAAAATCAAATGTAATTTAAAATTATTTATTGAACAATATGTGCTTAAATGAAACCTAATGATAAATTCATAACTTCACGAACTAATAATTGTGTTCTGAAGTATTAAACTTCAGTTTAAAGTATCATCGACATCATATGAAAGAAGTTCTGTTATCACGGAAAACAAAATCTATATATAATTTATAGAACTGGAAGAACATTAACGTCTACTCACATTGTTTCATAATTATCTGCCGAACTGTTGAACACGCATGACTGAATAATTAACTTGTGAGTATTGAGGCAACCCCTCATATAGACCATCTAATAGTGTATGTTAATGATTTATAAATGCAACTTCTTTCGAAAGCTTATTGAGTAGTTCCACTGCGATTTAAAGCCTTGTGACTGAACAGCGAACATCTATATGATCCATCTGCTCGCCCTGCTGTTGTTTCCATAGCTTTGATCCAAGGCTTAACTGATAGAAATGACCAGTAAGTGTAGTCATTCTATCCTCCGAATAGGCAAGTCTAGATATGTGGACAGTCTAAGAACTCTAGTCTCTTGTAGGGACTATTTGTTCTTGTTATTTACATAATCTCGAACTTATGATTTAAACTCATAATTATTACCTTAGAGACTTGTGCAAGTCTATTGTTACCATAGAGTAGGTGATCTCTGAGATACCTGATCGCTGAAGACAGACTGGTGATATATCAGCGCTGCGTCATATAACTTATAAAAATGTATTGAGTAGAGAGTTAGGATAGGTTTTCGTACATGTCTTGTCTTGAGGTTTAATGGCTCACATTGATATGATCGCAAAGCTGTTCATATTTCAGACATAAACTGCACTTTATTTTACCAGAAGAAAATATGTCTCGTTCAGTTTAACATTTCACTTGGCCTATGTGAGACAAGATGTGAGTCTAACAAGGTTCGTGTAATCGAAAACGTAAAATTCCAGGAAAACGATGGTGGCTAAAAATAAACAAATAAAACAAAAAAATAAACAAACTAGAAATGGTTATTCAGTAGTGATGATACGGTATCATGGCTGTGTTTGGGATCTTACGTTTGGAGTGTTTCGGCGACAGTTTCCAGCCCCGTAACTTTTGGTCAAATCCAATCTTTAAGTGCATACTTTCTTTTGCCCGTCAGTGTATACTGTTTCTGCATAAATGAGTTATTCCGCATTGCCTCTTTACCTATTTAATCTCTTCACAATATGTACAAATAATAAATGATATAAGTCGACCGAGTGTCTCAGATAATACGTTAGTCTGATGACTAACTAGGTAGTTTGACCGCTGCCGCTGCCATTATCGTAGAATTCATGTTGAATAAGTTGATTGGACATTAGTGAGTGAGTGAGTATGGTTTTGAGTCGCCTTTAGCAATATTCCATCAATATCTCGGCGGGGGGCACCAGAAATGGGCTTCACTTATTGTACCCATGTGGGAATCGAACCCGGGTCTGCGATGTGACGAGCGAACGCTTTAACACTAGGCCACCCTACCGCCCGACATTATGTGAAAATGTTGAGTTTAAGCGTGTGTCGAGACAGGATCCTGGTGTGATATTTACAGCCAAGAGATCCCTCTTACCATCCCAAGTCCACATCCAAATCTACTCCTTCAAACAACCTCCTTCACCCCTTTTAATGACCACCTAGACCCCTTCAAAAACATTGTTAGCTTATTATTGAGTGGAGATTTCGATAGTAAATTGCATGCCACCATGGAGATCATGTCCCCCCCACCCCCTCACCCCCCAACACACACTTCCACACACACGACCGACCCAATGCCAACCCATTCTAATAAATACACATCCCATCCTGTGAGTTGAAACGTACGATGAAATAAGTACATCATTCTTCAAACACACTCAAAGAAGCTGTTAAGGAACAAATTCGCAAGTCCAAAATTCTAAATGACAAAACATTTCTCGTGTGACAGAGACATTTACCCTATCACGACTGCACCGACAACGACCTCGCCAACGTATCGTCGCACACACGAAGTATCAGGTTTAGGTTTCAAACGATAAGCGTGACAAGAAAAATGGCGTCCTTCACGACTCCCGCCCTCACAGAGTAGGTATTACGTCATTCACAACCTGTATCTGCTGTGCTTCACGTCACGCTGTTTCAATCAGAGAGGGGTTATTGTGTTTTAACCACCTGAGATTGACCAATCAGAATCGAGTTATTTCCAAATTCATGCTAGAATGATACGCATACACCATCATAAGGTTCGTATGCCACGTCTTAATCGTTGCCGCGTTATATTTGAGATATTATTTTTTATATGAGAAATATGACGCTGTAACTTAATATCATGAAACCTGTGACGCAGATGCTTTGTGACGAATCATTTAAGGTAACTTTTCCATAAAATATAAAACGTCAGTTCCAGTGATAAAAGATACCTCCTTTGTGTCTTAGAAGCGAGGAGTGGTGATCAACGGTAAACATGTTGCGAAATACAAAACAAACAAACAACTCACTTTCTTTAAACTGCAGAAGATTGTCATGTTGAGGTGTGAACACAAGACAGACGAAACACGACTTGGATCTGAAAAAGAGAAAAAATACAGTGTTAAAACATACCCCCTTTCGATGTACGATTTAAAGTGGCGAAATGTGCTGTTTTATCATGCGTAACAAATTTTCGAGTCAATCAAATTATTTGCAATTAATTATTTTACACCCCAGGAAATTTAATATTCTACATCACTGCCTAATCTAAAAGCTGGAGGTGCACCAAGTGCCGCGCGACCGCAATTGTCGCACAGCGTTTACTTTTCTGTTTACATCGTCAGGAAAATAACTCGGCATCAAGATTGAGGAAGGCATCGAGCGAGACACACAGGCTGGAAGATCTTAAGTAACACATGACCTACAACGTCACAATAGAACTACGTTTTGCTCAGGACACCAATGTTCTATCACTCAGTAGAAAACCACCGCCCAAAATAGCACGGAAAGATAAGTTCCATTTTGGGGGTAAAGCAGCGGCAGGAATGAGAGCTTGATGACTACCAGTGCGTATATCAATACAGGTGAATGAGTGTGGTTTTAAGGCTTATAAGTGTATTAATGTAGGAGGACATGTACCACTTTGGTGAACACCACGAGCACGTGCTGACAAACCAAATCTCATATCAAGGTCGAATGTGGGATCCAAACCACGATCCTGACATAGCTAAGGGACACAACTCCGCGCACCCGGCGCTCTTAGGGCCCGCTTCACAAAGCAATCGTAGCGCCACTACTGTCATAATACACCGTCATTATGTTTAAAGTATTTGAGTTACAATCGTCTTAGCGCTACGATCGCTGTGGAACAGGATCCTGGGTCACTGGGCCATTGTGTCTCAATAACAATAATGTCTATAATAGATATTCAAGCCTTTTATGTAATGTAATGCAACAAGCTGGAATCCACACGATCCAATATGTCTGCTAGTACGGTTTATGTTCACTGCGCAGTTCGAAGCGCCGTATATCGGGATATATTTAACGACATCGTCTCAGTTATTCTGTCCCCATCATGAAGCAGCACAGCTGAGTATCATAGTAAATCATCAAAGATACAACGTGATATACCAAACAAGAAGGGGATTAATTCCCATTTTACGACATGTCACATATGGATTACGGCAAATGTGAACCGGGAGAAGCGCTTCAACGTTCACACAATTATGAAATTATTGTTAAAAACAACAACAATTATTTAAATATTTTTATAGGCTAAGTGTTGGTCTAATGCAGTACAAACAAAGGCATTTAATGACACACTATTCATCCTTGTTCAAAAGACAGCATGACGAAATGGATGCGACATCTAGGCTTGCTAAAGCTACAGCTTCCTGCATTCATCATGATCATTTTGGTAAGGTGACACAGCAGAATTTACAACGATCGCCATGAAGTTAATTCTCTTCATAGCTCTCCAGAAATCTGAGATTTTGAAACCTAAAATAGTTGAGAATATATTTTTCCATGGTTACCGTCATACCAACAAGCCGACATGAAAACTGAATAAGGTTTCAACTAAATAATCCAATTATGCTTTTCAGTATTTCATACAAATATATTTTATTATTTCAAATATGAATTCAAAGCATCACAACTCATGCTATGTAAGAATAAATCAAACTGTATAGCCACTTAAGGTGTGTATTTATGATGAAATACTGCTTAACATTCGCCCCTAGTGTTTTTGGAGCCAGCCTTTCTACTACTGAAGCATGGGAAAATATCACAAGCCAAATCACGTTTGAAGTAGCGGAAATACGGGCTTCCTTTTAACCGCAATGCACCCTGGGTCATCTAGTGTGAAGGCCCGTATGTCTAGGCGTGTAGGTCAGCTTGCGCATCCACTGAAAGGGTTAACGCACGACTTGCTCTATATATTCGTCGATCTGTACCCTATTAATATATGTCTAGTTGTGTCAACATACGCCACATCAAATGCCATATAGCATTTATTGAGCTACACATCAAACCATTCCAAGGGTCACAAAGGTGATAAATGGACTTCATTTTCAATCTTGACTCTCGGCGTTTCATTTTTAAAAGACCAAAAAAGCAACCTATTAAAAGAAGTCCATTGGCAATTTCCTTCCCAAACATCGTTTTTCCAGCTGATCATATATCAAGTGGAAATATCGCGAGATGCTTTCACTGGCCGCCATGTTTGATCAAATAGCAGGCTGTACAGGAATATTGACGTTTAAATTTGCAGGCCTAAAAACAGGGGAAGGCAATGTCTTTCTTTGTCATTGTTACACGCCTACAAATATCTTCAAAAGGGACAATAAGATCAATATGTTTAGTTGGGATAATGCATCTTTCTATTGTGGGCCTGTGTGACAGCGAGTTAAGACAAGATGAACCGACAAATAAACACCTTGGATTTGAATCAAAACGCCATGTGAGCTTTGACGTTGTCATTGCTTTAAACTTTCATGAACACACGTAACCGTCGAAATAGATTTATTGTTTGGGATTTAAATCAAATAGAATCAAACTTGCTGTTTTGAAAACTTGAGAAAAAAATGTTACGCTTTTTGTACTTCGAAAGCCGTAGCCTAAAGCAACTTCTCTTTGACAACCAGGACAAAATATAATAATCACAAATATCCAATCTGCATGTTTTGTTTTTTATCCAAGATAATTTGGTCTTGAAACTTTTGATAAAATGTTAAATTTCCGAATCAAATATTTTCAATGGAACAAATCAAAGTGATCGCGGCTCGCACATGTTCATCTTGTCGATCAAATCAGTGGCAGAGCATTTGAATTTAATCTCGACATTTTTAACATGATTAATACAATATGCATATTCCACATTACAGGAACTAGTTGCTTCAAAGGTCATACCAATAACTGATGTATTTCCAGAATTTCCAGAACGTTCCCAGCTGAAGGAGAGTCATTTAGCTTGTAAAAGTGTGACAAAATCGTATCAGTTTCCTCTATTGTCCAACCAAGGAACGGGTCTAATGGTAGCTAATGTTTTACTAATTGTCTGGTGTCTTGGCTACTTATCACCTCCGTCCCCAGAGACAATGATGTATTCTTCCAGGGCACCGTGGACAAACTCCCAATCCGCCATACGATCATTCTCAATTATTCAAGAAATACTTACAGGGATGGCTTTGCCGTTCGATTTAGTCCGTGGACTCGCTAAACAACATAATGGATGATATAAATTATGCATGACAAAATACGCTGGTCCGTAATTGGAGGGCCCTTTGAGGCCACGAACGCCGGGGGTCCATGGACCATGGTAGGAAGACGGTTTGTTTGCTGGTGGAAACACGTCATTAGGACCAGGGAAGACGGGCACCGGTGTTGGTATTGTGACACCTGTCCTGAGTATAACGGTTGTAAACACTCTCGGAAGTAAAATGAGTAGAGGTATTTTAGGAATTGCGGATGGACGTTGTTGTAGGGTGTTTTTAATCCTCAAGTTGTCATTTCGTGCGGCATTGGTCGTCCTTGTTATTAGATGCGGAGAGTATCATGCATTGTATACCTGTATTGAATGCCGATATTATCATGCATTGTATACCTGTATTGAATGCCGATATCATCATGCATTGTATACCTGTATTGAATGCCGATATTATCATGCATTGTATACCTGTATTGAATGCCGATATTATCATGCATTGTATACCTGTATTGAATGCCGATATCATCATGCATTGTATACCTGTATTGAATGCCGATATTATCATGCATTGTATACCTGTATTGAATGCCGATATTATCATGCATCAACCAAGTCAGCGAGCCTGGCCATCCGACCCCGTTAGTCGCCTCTTACGGCAGGCATGGGTTGTTGAAGACCTATTCTACCCCGGATCTATGCGGGTCGGATGTCGATATTATCATGCATTATATACTTGTATTGAATGCCGATATTATCACATACTGCATACCTGTATTGAATGCCGACGCTAGTATACATTGTATACCTGTAATTGTTGCTGACGTCAGCATGTATTGTGTGCTTGTATTGGATGCCATGCCCGTGTTTGTCAGTGTAACAGCATGTTGCTAGCCAGATGAGTGCGACTGAGTCCTGTCCCGACATCCTGTTGCCAGCCATGTTAGTGTGACTGCATCCAATTGCTTTTCGGTTGAATGCATTTTACGCACCTATAAGCAACCTGCACTACAATCTTTGCAAAATGTACTCTGAGGTCTATTATTTACATTGGAACAGTAGACCCCACATGTTAACTCGGTACTTCTAGAATAGTTATCTGCTTATACATATCAGGAACCAGTGTTGGTTAAGGTGACCTTACTTTACACTTCCAGAACATTGATTAAGTCAGAGGTTTCCATGATTTACCTCGGTGTGTACTGACGGAATGAATATACAGCGAAATCCCTTTATTCGGTCAAGCATATCTAGCAACCATTCTTTTGATATTTTGCCATTGGAAAAAAGAGTTTCTATTATGAAAGGGACAATACTATGGACCTATTACTCGCAAATCCGGACATCTGTTATTCTGGACATTTGTTAATCCGGACAATTTTACTTGGAAAATCCCGTCCGGATTAACAAGGTTTCACGTTTACCGGGGGTGACGTTAACAAGACCTTCAACTTCTTTTTAAAAAGTAAATAAACAAATAGGAGGGATGTAAATTTAATTGAAATTAACATGTTGCGACAAGCCAATTTGGGTAAAAATACGTTAATGCAACTCTTGAATCAACAGCGGCGGGTGATTCCCTGCAAAGGTCAGAGTGACCATCATCAATGGAAAATCAAATATAGCGTGAGATTCCTCAGAATAAACCTTGTAAACAGCCACATCAATAAAACGACGCAATCATGTAATGTACAAACATTTAACAAACACCAACATTGAACAAACAGAAATAATGAGAGCCTGGGGCTCAATGGGCATTGTGCATTGCGCTGTGACATCACAACCGAACAATACGTTACAACCATACGTCCGTCAAACAATCTTGTTCAACCCTGGCTGCAAATAGCACCAGAGCGAAAGTGTTGACAGAAGTTGCCATTACTGGAATTATCACCTCTTTCGATATCAATATTACATCTCGTAGGTAAACAGGGTTGTTGTGTTTGTTCCGTTAATGAGGAAGAGAGTTAACACGGGCGTCACGCACGGTAAGGCATCAAAGTCAGTGATAATTTCTGTCCTGATATTGATGTGGGCATGTTCAAGAAAGACAGTGCAGATAACGTATTATTATGATTATAGTTATTAACGCACGCACAAAATTAGGTCATTTTGAGCAAACCATTTAAATGATTTTTGTCACGATACTGTAAAAATACTGAGTTTATCGATTGCTAGGAATATCACAGGAACAACGTGATTAGCATCGTATGTAGCATGAAGCATAGTAATATCATGTGATTATAATCGAATGTACCTCTCATGCTACCTCTCATAATCGTCGCCCTGTTGTTATCAGGATATTAATAAAAGAACCAGTTTTATCTTACTAATATTAATTATGTCATGATTTGGGAACATTTCTAGAGTTCAATCACTGTTTTTTGAAGATAACGTGGACGAATTGGGCATGAGCACATGTAATCTACACTGCAACTTTTCCATCCCATGTATCAGGTTATATCTGGATATAAATACAAGTTTATGCCTAGGTGCTCGTGGCTGAAAGTGTATGGATTGACACGAAGTCGGCTAATACTCTTTTTGACAAAACGACCCGGCTCGTTCTTTAGCCCTGGTTATAGTGATGAGGCTTCGCTGTCGATATTGATTAAATAAACGACATCTGAAAATCATTAAAACAAAAGCGATATTTTTTTGCAAATAGCAAATTTATGACCCAGATTCGTCTTTATATGATGCTAATGTGCCATATCGGAGACCAAATATTATCATGCTGGGAGAAATGGGATAATGAAACATAAAAACATGGATGGAGAATTTACTGTTATTTCTATTGTGTGCTCGTGACAACATAAAGCCGGCAATCTGAGATGGTTTTCTCTTAAGAAGAAACACGACATTGTAAGGGGACAAAATAATGTAGGAGTCGTGTTGCCCGCACTTCTAACAGGCTTATGCAGAATATGATTAGAGCAGTTTAAAAAAACTGATATCATTGTTCGCATCCATTAAGAAGCATCGTATGGGGGGGTTATGACGATAAACCGGAAACTGTCTGTTGTTAAAGGTTGACGACAAACTGTAAACGCGTGAATTGTGTTTTATGCCGCTTAGAACAGTATCTAAATTATTTCATAGCGCGTCACTATATTTGGGATGGTTGAGACGATGACCATCGATGTTGTTAATCACTTTACCGAACTTCACGATTTTGATACTGAACCAAAGTTTCATTATCAGGCCGATTCTGGAAATCGGAATACATTCAGCAGATCCTGGCACGAGTAAGGGACGCAAATCTGCACAGCGATTTTTACACGACTGGGTCAACCGTACCCCCGTGACTATGTGTACGAGTCTCATATGCGATTGTGGCATGAGTGAGTTGGGTTAACGCCGCTTTGAACCGTATTCCAGTTATATCACGGCGTGTCAGCTTGATGTGAGTGGAAGGCCTGAAGTGATACAGGTCTCAGACGTTTACCACTTTGGTCAAACGAGAGTATGGTGCAGACAAACCTAGAAACATAATCAGGACGAACCAGGATTCGAACCAACGATCATAGGTTTCGCGTCCCCAAGGGACGCAAGACTGCAGCGCTTTAGACGAACGGGCCACCCTTGTCCCCGATTATGGCATGAAAGTTGGTAATACTCAAGTCAATCTAGCCGTTGTAAAACAGTGTAAATATATATTAGACAATTTGTTGACTGTATCATTGTGGACATAGTAACCGGGCCACACTATCGGTACTGTACAGTGATTAAGTTTGGTTTAACGCCGCTTTCAACAGTATTTCAGTTATATCACGACGTGTCAGCTTAATGTGGGAGGAAAGCCGAAGTGATACAGGACTAAGATGTATATACCACTTCGGTCAAACCCATGAGACGTGATGCTGACAAACCTAGAAACATAACAAGGCGAACCGGGATTTGCACCCATGATCACAGGGTTCTGGCATGTCTAAGGGGCGCAACTCTGCATAGCCAATTGCGGCTTCTGAAATGATTTGTCATTCTGGGTCGGTAGACAGCTTATGAGATGATATGAAACAAAAGAGACATTGATACATATAATGAAACTCAGCATGCGTGACTGTGTGATTATTAGTTTAATTATTCATCCAAGCACCTGGCTGACTCACGGCCATCATGGTGACAGGAGATATTTTGTTCAATATTTGTCCTGATTGGCAACAGCGAGCATTGCTGATGATATTGCAATCTTAGGAGATACGATCATATGCGGAGATGTAGAGGAATTATCTTGAGAAATCATTAGACCCTGCGATCAGCGAGTACGGGGGGGGGGGGGGGGGGGGGTTGGGGGGAGTGGGTGTGGTATCCGTGTGATTGTCTGGTCTTGTGTGATGTGGTGCGGTGTGGTGTGGCGTGGCGTGGCGTGGCGTGGCGTGGCGTGGCGTGGGGTGGGGGTGTCTGTGTGTAAATGTGTGTACGGAGAGGAGGGGGGGGGGGGGGGGGGGGTTGATGGTGTGGAGTGGTGTGGTGATGGGGAGTGGTGTGGTGGTGTCTGGGTGTGTTTGTGATGTTTGTTTGTGTGTGTGTGGGGGGGGGGGGGGGGGTGTGTTTCTTGTTGTTTGGTGTGGTGGTCGTGGTGGTGGTGGGTGTGTATTTGTATGTCTAATTTATCTAAATAACTTAACACCGATGCAGACTAAGAATTAACGTCTGCCGCCAAACCATGTAGCTAAAGCATGATGACAGTTATAGGGTAGCTGAAGGTGAGCTCTGTCGGGATGATGAACGTACGCACCACGTTGACCTTGACCTCAACCTCATGACCTTAACTTATCTTCTGATTAATGGAAACCGTCATCCCTTAGTTCTCGTCAAGCTGACTTCAAGATACAGAGATAGCAATTTATACGACAAAAACAAAGGAATTCGGCCAATTTCTCGTTCATTGCATGTTGGGTCGTTCACAGATCCGGGTTTGGAGAGACCATTGTGCATATCTGGCGAGATTCCTGGAATCAGGTCCTCCTCTACTGCCTGACAACAATTATAAATCTTTGTGTCGGAATTCTGTACAAGAGTGTAGTAGCCATGCAGAAAATAGAGCTGGGATGATGAAGGTCCCTGCGTGCACCCACCACAATAAAACATCTTGCTGTTATTGTGAGGAAGGAAGATCCTTTGTGCAGAGGCGCCGAAACTCAGACGACAAGGTCCCCAGTCGGCCAACGCCGAATGCCAGGCCCCAGGTGCATAATTAACGTTAAATTACCAATCTTTAATTTTAAGACGGGGATGTGCGTCCTTGCAAGGAGCCACATCTTAGGGGTCGTATCAAAATCTCAAATATGATTTTTATATCGATTTTCATAGCAATATTCTTGTAAAATATCATTTTTTAAAATATCACTTTTATTGCATTTTTGATTAATCCTATTAATTTTCTTACTGTGTGTGAATTTTTGGGTTATGACGTTTTGACATCTCCCCTCTTGGTGAGTAGAGGAATGGCCTGGGCCCATGTCAATGTTATCAGTGTTAAGTCATTACCGGAGCACACACACTCACTGTCCATTACGGTGTATTAGCAGTTGGTGCCAACGACTTGGGTGCTAACCAACGCACTTTAGAAAGGGTAATGAGTAAGACCGCTTGGGACTATTTAATCCCACTGGCAAGGAACACCACACTTGACTGAGGGGGATTTAATTAAACACATTTTTCAGAGATAAAATTAATTGCAATTTTTCAACGCCTTGTAACGAAGACCTGCTGAAGGCCGGCACCGACTAACCCGCTTAAACACAAACATGACAAATCTTACACGCTTCTGAGAAAATACCAATCTGCTGGTTGAAATATGTTGAAGGGCCTTTCAATGCATTGAAAGGAACCATATCACATGTCCCCCTAATCTAGATGACCTTATTAAGATTAGAACACCGAATTGGGACACCAGGACGCATTGACACGTCTGTGTTTTTAACATGCGAGTCGGTATCACGCAGACACAGAAAGCTCCGTGTCATGTAACGTCTCCCATCTCATACTCTTGACACTCATTTAACTGGACGACCGAACTTCCCTTTCGTAAACATTTGGTCCTCTTTACACTTGGTCGAATTGTTCGTGCTACTATGTAAACTAGACCCTCGCATTACTGGACGGCTCGGTCTTCCATCCGGTAAACTGGACACCCGTTAAACTGGATGTCATGTCTACCTACTTCTTACACTGGGCCCTCGTTAAACTGAGCGGTTTGGTTTTCATAGAAACAATAAATCCGTGTTAAAACTTGACGGTTTTGTCTTCCTACTACATATACCGGACCCTCGTTTAACTGGGCGGTTTGGTTATCTATGATATGACACTGCCATACAGTGTAGATTGTTCGGAAACGAAATGATTTTAATTCCCCTGAAGTCATAAACCCGGATTCGACTTATCCGACAATCGAGTGATCCGTTTCAAAACTATCCAGGAACGATCGAAGATGTCCGGAAAAAAGATAGACTTTAAGATAGACTAACATTGTGTCCTCTGAAATATAATCACGTTAACATTTTTTGTTATGTTTTAATAAATAACAGAAAGGAGCACAAAGAATACCCGAAACTGACACGAAATCTAGACTTGACAAAGTGGTAGGTTCCGATATTTGTATTTCTTGATTTGTATGGGAAATTTCCATAACGCTAATTTTTCTTGGGAGTTGCATGGCCTGTATAAGAGATTTCCATAACGATAAAAACAGAGCATGAGGAGAGAATCTATTAGTGAGCTTTTACTTACTTATCCAAAAGTAGATACTTAGTGCCGACGCTATTGACGCAATGGCCTCGTTGTGAGATGCTGTGTTTGGTGATCTGCAGTTTGCCTTGAGCCACGCCACTCTGGTACCAGGTGCCACGCCACTCCAGTGGGAACGTACAGTGGAAGGCTGAAATTGACAACACAGGTGTTAGACATGTAGCTAGTTATGTCCACATCGATCACACATTCATGACACATCTACACAGACGGAAATGTGTGTGTTCGCAGTGTCGCCACTGACATTCAGTCATACTTTTCATCACTGCTTTGGCTTTAACGCCAAATGGAATATGTTTCGGCAGATAATGGAGACTGGTTGTTCTATTGTTTACGGTTTACTATTGGAAGATACGAAACCAAATATAAGCACACAGATCATAAAGAAACATATTTTTGAGACAGATACATGATACACGTCAATCTCCATGTCAGAACCACCGACACGTGCAGAAAAAAAATTAATAAGAAGTTTTGATAGCATTGCTGCTTAAATTATATTACAAAAAAAACCCATGGTGGACATTTAATAAGTAGCACACGATAGAAAAGCTTATGTGGAATTAAAGTTTGAATTAGTGAAAGATAAAATCTACAAATATTCATAACAGTTCATGATGATTACAATCGTCCGATCGTCGGCATGGTAAATATCCATCACAGTTATTCTGGGATGTGAAATGGAAACATGAATCTTTTAAATATTTTTTCATATCAGTATGTCAATAAAAAATTCATTCATCCTAAAATATGAATTACATTTTACATAAAGGTAGAATGGCGGCAGTTCGGGGTGTATCAAGTACGGGACAGATCCCAAGCGGAAATTTATACAGGCTAAACGCAACATGTCTATCAATATCTGAACTCGCGATAAGTTATCAATCTTAAAATAAATTATATGTTTCACAAAAGTATAATGGCGACGGAATGGGAGGTATTCAATACTTGATACTGTGACCTCGTGACGGCGATGTATCCCAAACAGGGATCTTATATAGGCTAAACGCAATGTGTCTATCAATCAGTGTTCTGGGATAGACACAGATCCTGCCCCGCGTTTCGTTGCGTGCGTGCAACCACTACCACAAGCATCCCTGGCAACGCTATTCCACTATCAAAATATTATCTTATCTGAATTAAATTTGCAAGACTGATAAATTACAGTGCGCCCGGGAGTGTGTGGAACATGAGAGATAAGATGTGATGAATTGGGAGGTCTTGTGTAGAACATGTATGTAATCCTGTTGGCGTAATCTGGCAGCGTTTTGAGTGGTAATTACATACAGACATGACGGTAGTATTAATCTACAGCCGCAGACAACGTCCATGCCGCCGGAGCGAGCCTGTGGTATCTGTTTTAAAGACAACGTCAGTCCCCGTATCGAACGTTCACCGTGATTGTCAGCGTGGACGTAAGTGCTTGTGATTAAATCAGAAAGCCATTTCCTGTGGTATAGGTTTCGGTTGAATCTCTGTGTCCGTGTTTACAAAGCTGTTGATGGATGTTTCGTGAACATGTGTGAGTGTGTCAATAATAAGCTGTATTTTGATATCCCAACACGATCATGTCGAATTTACAGACATTCCGGACTAAATGAATGTAGTTATTGCTCCGTCAAAACTAATCAAAACTATCATAACATAGTTTGCCCATTGTCCGTCAATCACGTCACACACATTGAACAAACGAGAGCCTGTTCCATTGCCTATGCGGCTCGGCGCGAGCTGTTCAGATGAAACCTACGATCGACCGAAGATTAATGACAAGGCTCATCTGTTTGCCGTTCCTCATATTTCAGATTGTCATTTATCAGATTCCAAACATCCATGGCGGTAGTGGACGGTAAAGGGCCTCCGTGTCCGCTAGACAATGGTAACAAGTTGATGGTGACACCGGATACAGATCATACAGAAGTCTTAATCCACTGAAGGGCAGAACCAGACCAGAATCACGTCCAGGACATGTCACAGCACTGGTCATGTGAGTCATCATAACTGATGTCCATGATCAGATTCTCATCAAATAATGTGCAAGGCCGACAGTAACCTATCGCAGATACAGATATTATAGTATCCACCATCTCTACGATTTGGCTTAATTAACTTTGGCATAACTCACTTTAATCTAGCCAGTCTATTGGCTATTACTCGGGGTTCTCAGCGCTGCGCTGGTGTTTTTGTTATCAGAAGAAATTCGCTAAAAGCCAAGCAATTATTTTTAACCATGGCGGTCAGAATTTGCTAATAAATATATCGCTTAATGAGAGGCATTTTTGACAAAACCATTAATATTTTCGTCTTTGTGCGAAAGTTAATGAAAATCTTGGCAAGTTCAAACTCGCGGCCGGCCATAATCGACTTTGGGTTGCTAAATTTGCCTGAAATTAATCACTCAAGAATATGGCTATTGTTCCCAACTTGGTCGTGTGTGTGTTGGGGCGTTGTCAAAAAGAGGTGGTCGACAACCCACAAACACGCGTTGCATCATACGACAAAAACAACATGCCCTAACTCCGAAGACCACTCTGTTGTGGAATTATGCAGAGCATATTACTGGGGATCATCGATGAAGCTCTTTCTACGAGAAAATTCAGACAGCTACACGACACTTATTATGTAAATGAAATTCAAACGGGAAACCGATAATCGCGATATGGACTTGATGATTAGAGAAAATGCCTTGGTATTTCAATTCATCAAAAACGTAATCTGCTAGAAATGACGTTATTCTGAACGCCCGATCCCCCCACTTCCTGTTATAAGGGCCGATGGGGTAGCCTCGTGGTTAAAGCGTTCGCTCGTCACGCCAAAGATACGGGTTTTATTCCCCACATGGGAACAATGTGTGAATCCTATTTCTGGTATCCCCCAGCGTGATATTGCTGGAATATTGCTAAAAGCGGCGTAAAACCATACTAACTCACTCACTTCATGTAATAAAGAAGTCACGCGACCATGTAACCAGGTTTCATGACTTATGTTGGTCTGTCATACAGACCCTGAATCAAATATATCCAATACAGCCCATGCAAGTCTGGCAAGTCTAGATTACTGCAGTATCAGGAAAGTCTCTGGGCTCCTTTTTATTATATTTTATAACAATAATTTAACAACTTTTTTCTGTAAATTATGTTTATTTCAGAGACTAGATAATAGTCTAGACTTATGTCAATAGTATCAGGTTTGTCTTATAAACAAAAACTTTCCAATACAATGTTGTCCGTGTCAAGACACAAACAGGCAAACATGTAAATTTGTATTCAAGCGGGACCTATAATCTATTTCATTGACAGTCATAATCACGTATGAGAGTGGGTTTTTTCGCTGCTCTAAGTAAAATTCACTAGGGCAGGCAAGGCACAAACCCCGACATCGAACTCGGGGCATCGGTGTCACAAGCGAATACCCACTGACCCTGGGCGTTAGAGAGGACATTTTGCATGTGTGCGGCAGATGACGTTCCGGCGTTGGTGATTATCTTAAGCTATTACAGTGTTCAATTAGATATTTGACGTTAACGCTGCTAGAATTGATGTTATACTTTGCTCATTTGATTGCTTCTTCACGTGAATGTAGATTCTCAAGAACGTAAATAACAGCTAGCCAAAATAAAACAGAATCCAGAACAAAATAAAGATTCCGTCTACACATAAATGGCATATTGCGTCAGCTGGCTTAAAATAACATACAGGCACATGTTTTAAAACAATAACGTACAGAAGACGACCTTCGAAAATACTTCCGGTTCAAATGTCAAGGTCAATGCGCCGCGCAACATGGCGGCCTAACGTTGTCATTCCCGTGTGTGTACATTCACGAGCCGCGCCGTGGTTGACGTGAAGTGCTGTATCTTCTATCGGGGTCATATAGTACAATTTCCCGTCAAGCCATAAGGAAGCAATTAACACAGACCGTCGACTCCACATAGTATTCTGTTCTATCATAAACTTGACATTTACAAATACCAATAGGGCCGTATTCGGTTGTTCTATAATTATAGAGATTATAGTACAGTATTCTTATAGCAACTAAGCTTGAACTTGTGTATGGTAAAGATATTATTAACCCGGTCAATGGATCAGTGTGCCCTCGATTTCATTCTCAGCTCCCTGGGGAGTATACAATTACCCAAGTTGCCTACGAGGCGCTAGAAGGGCAACGGTCACCATTTCATCCTCCCGGGTATATATTCGAACAAGACCATCCATCTTACTGCTCTCTGCGACCAACGATGCTTTACTTTAACCGATTTGTGACCTATGCGTTGTATACAGGAAGACGTGACACCACGTGCCAAATACAGCGGAACCTCGTCTGACCGGATCCTGCTAATCCGGAAACCCCTCGAGCGATCACTTATGACAATCCTTAAAAACATACACATGTATGACTTATACCTGATTCGTTAATCCGAACGATTTTACGATGACTATGGTCCGGACTAACGAGGTTACACTGTACCCAAGATAAGTGGTGAGGGTGGTATAGGTTTCAAGGGCATAGAGGGCAAGATTATCAACTGATGGAACCTTTCAGTGTTGTTTACGATAGGCTGACATCACACTTACAAAGATTGAAAGGAGTCTCTCGGTAGTGAGGACATAGATTTAAAGGGTATATAGACCCGACGTCCCTACAGACACAAGCCACAACTCCACTGTGAACGCTTTCAGTGCTCTGTGTACGGTACGCTGACATGCCGTCGATAACGAGTATCTAGCACACTATGCAATAATTGAAAGATATTTATCTCGGTGTCATTAAATGACGATATCATCGAATCCGTAGTTGTAGATGAGATGGGGCGACCCTGCACAGTTTGAGCAGCTATTACACGCACGGGGAAGCAAACAGAAGTCGATGGCGTATTTCATCACCGAATTACCAGTGTGAAGGTCTCCCTTCTCCTTCAATAGGCAAAGCCAACACGACTGACAGGCTGACAGTTAATACACCATTTATCTCCCGTATCCCTCCATCAAGCAGCTCTTCGTCACTGAACAAACATGGACATCGCTTACTGTTGCCAGATAAAGTCAACAAATATAGCCTTACCTAAGCAAATACATTAGAATTGGAGCGTGGATTAAGCATCAGATGAAAATATTACATGTCAAAACGGATTTT